CTCTAGGAATTTTGTTCAATGTTCACTATGTTTAATGAGAAACCTTAACACTTCCATGACTTTGGATCAAGGCATTAAAGTTCAAGCGTGTAAATCAAATCAGCCCTCATTTCTCAACATTTGCATCTCCCTCACAGGCTATACCAATTTGGCCCGTTCTTGCTTTTGATCCGGTTTGAGCCTTGTCTACATTTGATTTATTTTATCTAATTTTTATTAAATTTCTATACTGCCTTTTATCCAAGCATCATAGGACACTTTACAATATCAAAACACAAAAACACGTAACATACTAACAAAAACAATATGCATACACACCCATGCACACACCCACACAGATTAGAAGGCCATAGACTGTTTATTTGCCCAACAGCTTGGGAGAAGAAGAATGCTTTTGCCTTGCCGATAAAGATCTGTAACAAAGGCACCAGGCAAACCTCTCTGGGGAGAGCATTCCACAAGTGGGGAACCACTGCAAAAAAGGCCTAGTCTTGTTCTCTGCCTCCCCCCCAACCATTGTTTACTGGAGTATACTGGAGTAGCAGGAAGAAACACTCCGGTTTGTTTCAAAGTTTTCCGAGCACTGGATGATTACTAAACCCTCAGAAAACATCAGAGAGGATTGGGACACTCAACTTGCCCTGCTTCCTCCTTGGAGGAGTAGAGAGATAGAAACAGCAGTGTGCTTTTGACTGCCAGTATACTGTTGTATTTGAGCAGGGGGAGCCTTTGAAGGGGAAATTATGGCACTGTCTCTATCATGGAGCAACGTTTCACCACTGATAAATTCAATAGGAGGCTGGTGGCAAGGTTGGCTCCAGCTTTCAGCCAAGTGGGCTCAAACACGCCTAATTCTGTGCTGGATTCTAGGCCTAAAACTATGTCTGCAATACTTCTGAAACACATGTGTTCAAATACTTGGCTCCACTAAAATGGTTTTTTACGCATGCATGCTGGCATGAACTTTATTAGTTGACCCAGTTCTCATTTAGCAACAACCTGAAGCTTGCTTTATGAATAACTACCAACTTAAGAAACACTCGAAGATATCCTCTGAAGACAAGAATGAGGTTTGAGCTCCAATTTATTCCACCTTCCATGAAAACAAGGGATGTCTGGTATGGTGTCTGGTATGTCTCCAAACCTGTCTAAGTAACTTTTCCAGTGAGGTATATAGTAATGGATGACTTAAAAAATCAAAATGAATATATGAATACCATGTTTTGTAAATATGTAAAATTCTGACTTGTTTACAAGGATATGGAAATTAAAAATGAAAAATTGTAAAGCAAAAGGGTTCATCCTAGGTTGTTAAAAGATAGCACCCATCAACTCAAGTCAAGAGCCATGGGCATTCTAGTAAATTACACAACTATAATCTTAATTGTCAGGTAATTGGCCTAGGGCTTCACCTTTGCAAAATTCTCAAGAGCATAGCATGAAATTGTCCAACTGTAATTAAAACTTTGCAAAGTTAGAATCAGCAACATGTGCCCTTAAATCAGCACCCAGGCCAGATCCAAACAGACACATAAAATTGGCACATTCTACTGTACAGTCGTACCACCGTTTATGTAACCCTCTGATTATGTAAACTTCGGGATGTGTGCGCAGCAAACCTGGAAGTATTTTACTGGGTTTCGCCCCATGCGCATGCACAGAAGCAGTCTGCACATGTGCAGAAGCAGTCCTCAGGTTGCAGAAACCTTGGGATCCGACCGGACCTCCGGAACAGATCCTAATCACAACTGGAGGTACCACTGCATGAACAACCATAAACATACTTACGCCATTACCACGAGCTATCAAAATAATTCCACTTCCAATACCAATGCAAAAATATCTAACAATCTTAGATGTGGTTTTTAATTTTAATTCTAAACCAACCAGTCATGCCAGTACATCAGGTAAATCCAAATAAGTTCAGGATAAATTATATGTTAATCTGATTTATAAAATTAAAAACTTGGGTTCATACTCAGCGATTCATAGCATCTTTCTAACTGGAGAGAACTGTGAGCTATGACTGCAAAAATACTCTTCTAGTACATAGAAACTGATGCAGTACAGTACCATATTTTGCTTGGGTTGCTTGCCACATAGATAGGGAAGATTTAAAAACTGCACATTGGAAAAAGAAATGTGAATAAGTAGCTCTCTATAGCATATTGATAAAATGTAAGAACTGTGTAGTATTAAGAGCCTTTGCCAATTATCCTTGCCAATATCATTCTAGGCATACATTTTAATGTTCAGACAGGACATCAGCAATGCTATAGTTTCTGCTTTCTAATATACTAACCAATTGTTATCTGAGGCTGCTTTAGTAGGAAGTAAATACATGACAGAATACAAATGCTACAGGAGATGGTGTGCATAGCAAGCATCATTGATTTTGTCATCAAGTACAAATTGTAAACTGGAAGAAGTGCTCTCTTTTCTAAAATGGAAACGAACAGTTTTAACAGCTTTGCTGCTTAGATGCATGCCGGCCGACTTAATTCAATATTCTTGCCTCTTTTAATGCACAGTGAAAAGTAGCCCACAACAGACCAAACAATTAAATAAGACATAATATGGGCTGTAAGTAAGGTTCCAGTTTATGTAAGGCCTACCTACAGCTGAATCATAACAAAATGTACCCTTAACCATCACTTAAACCGAAAGAAACACCTCTACATCATACCAGAGGTCTTATTTGTGGATAAAAGCACAGATATAGAGTGTCAAATGTGTGTTCAGTAAAACAGTATTCTAATATATCTGTTACATTACTCTCAAACAGTACTACAAGCCTTGGTCCATTTCCCCCCCTAAAAGCAAACATTTCAGACTGCAAAAGCATTAAAACTTCATAGTTACATATTTGAACACAGTTAGCATACTGTAGTATGTGCTTTCCAATATTCAAGTCACAATATCCACCGTTCATACTATATATGCATCAAATGTATCAAACATTAAAGTGCTCAGTTATTACATTTATCGAAATAGGTGATTTGTTATGACTAAACCTAAGGCTCTGAGAACACCGTTACATTGCATTGCTTATGACATCAAGCACCATGGACAGTACTGAAAATCTGCAGCACCATGGACAGCACCAAGGATTCGCAGCTCTATGTACTGCAGTTCCATCACATAAAACTGCCTTGCAGACTTTATTCCCGAACAAAATAAAATGTCTGCTGTTAAGAAGCAGACTCTGAATATTTCCAGCCCACAAAGCAGTTTCTCCTTTCACTTTAACAACAAGCAGCAATTTGTTTTTGTCACACAAGTAAGCATTCAAACTCTTAAAGATACTATTTAAGGACTTGCAAACCTGAACTGATGCTTGCATCCCAGCAGCTCTTAGATCACCACTGCTCTGCTTATAAATAAAGGTAATATATTCAATGTAAACTTTAAAAATTATCTGCTGGGGGGTTTACTTCTTATACCCTGTTTCCATGGCAAGCAAATCCTTTCAACGAGCATTGCTTTCCTTTAAAAAAAAGTAAGTTGGCCAATACTCATTACATCTACAACGTTTAGATTTTCTTGTGATGCTCTAAGATAACTTCAGGGTGATAAGCCCTAAAGAAAACACTGCAGTTCCACTACATAAGATATTACTATCCCAAACACAATTCCTGGAAGTAGCTTCTACTGAAATCAACAAGATGCATCAATACCTAAATCAGGGCCTTGCATATATGTTTGTTTTTTTAACTGCTTCTAGCCCTTGGCTGTTGTTTTTTTAAAGCACCAAACAACAGTTCATGTACAAAGTTGACAGCTACTATCCAGAACCTATTATCCAGAACCTCTGAAGCTAGACCCCATTGATTTCTGTGGAACTTATTCCCACAGCAGTGTGCACTGAACTGCGACCTTAGAAACATGTCACTACAGCAAGAGCAACACTTTTCTTAAAGGACAAGGTGCCTGAGGTTAGGGCAAAATCAGAATTATGTACAAAGAGCAAAGAGGCAGTCACTAAGACTCTGCCATCACTACTTTTCCCCACACACACAGTTCGCTGCAGACTCTGCTTGCGAGTCCCAAAAACCCAGGGCATATTCCAACTCCAGGGATTCGGCAGAGCAGACTTGAAACAGAGACATTTACACACACAGAGAGAGAAGAAGAGCCACCTGGGATCACTTCCTTTCCTCTAAGACTCAATTACCAGACTCTTAGGACACCCCAGGAAAATCACCAGGCTTTTGATTCCCTGAGTTCAACAGCATGCAAAGCTTTCGCAGCAAATGTCCTACACAACGCTGTCCCTCCAGGGACACACAAGAAAGTTATTGACCAGTCCAAGAGCTGTCCTTGGTCGCGTCCAACCGGTTAGCCAGAAGCTGGGGAAGGGCACCAAACGGATGCCCAAGGTATTTGGCATTGTTCCCCTTAAACGAAAGACAAACCACCAAGCTCCAGAGAAGCAGCGCCTCCTCAGAAGTTCAGGACCCAACTCCATCCATCCCAACAACAGCCCTGATCCAGCAACTCGGAAGTTAATGCCCCCACCCTCCCCTGCGAAGAAAGCAGACCTTCGCACCGCCACGCGAATGACGCTTTTTCAGTTCCGGGAAACAAGCGAGATCCCCTGATCACTTCAGGGCCAGGGAAACCCCCGCTGGCGACCACGTCCCGGCCTCCCCTACCCCTCCCACGCACCCCCCCCCCGCGGCCGCCTCCGCGCAGCAGCAGCAGCAGCAGCCCACGCGCTCCCGGGTCCTGCTCATTGGCACGCAGCGCCTCTTCCCCTGCCAAGCCGCATTCCAGCCCCTGGCAGTCAGAGCGGGGCCAGCGCGAGTCAGGAGCCCATCGCATACGATCAGGACCGGGGGAAGAGAGGGAGGGAGGGAGAAGCAGCCAGAAACGAAGCCACAAACCTCAGCGTCGCCCAAGAGACCAACAGTGAATCCGAGGGATTGGAGGGGTGGGAGAAAGGCATTGCCAAAGTGGTGGGGGTTATAAAAAAGACACAAAACCACCTACACTCCTACCTTACAATCCTCCGGGCCGGATTTCACCGAGTACTCCTCCGCCTGCAAGTATTTTTGCAGCACGAGCTCGAACTCTCGGTAGCGGTCCTGCGCTTGCTGGTCGTAGTTCTGGTAAGCCAGGACGCAGCGGCGGCAAGAGCCGAGCCAATCCTCCTCCTCCTCCTCCTCCTCCCCGCGGCGCCCTTCGCCATCCAACTCCTCGTCCTCGTCCCCCTCGCCTAGGTCCAGAGTGCAGTTGAGAGTGTCCGGGCGGGAAAGCCCGGCGAAGAGCTCGCGCAGCGTGTAGGAACTACAAAAGGGAAGGTAGAGCTCCGCCTGGGCCGAGGCTCCGGGCAGCTGCAGGCGGCGGCACGCAGCCTCGGCGTCGCCCAGCAGGCTGAAGCACTGGCCGCCGCCGCCGCCGCCGCCCTCCGCCTCCGCCGCGCCGTCCATGCCGTCCTCCCTGCCCGCTCCCGCCCGCTCTGGGTCCCGGTGGCGCCCGGCCGCGACCTGCCTGGCCTCAACGCAGAGCCACAGGTGGTCGGAGAGCAGCACGGTGAAGAAGAGCAGCGAGGCCAGCGACAGGCGCCATTTCTGCGCCCGCTCCGAGTCCGCGAAGGGCTTGTCGGGCTCCCGCGGGCCGAAGCACACGCCCGAGCCGGCTCCTCCCGGGGGGCGGCTGCTCATATTTCGGGAGCGCGCAGCCCCGGCCGGCTCCACGGCGAGGGGGGCTCCGCAGCCGGGCTCGGCGGCCCCACGGGCATGGACACGGCGCGGCGGGGCGCCAGGCTCCCCCCTCAGAGAAGGGCGACGACGACGGCGGCGGTGGCGGTGCTAATGGGGGTGGCGGGGACGGTGGTGGTGGTGCTCCTGCGCGCTGGGCTGGGCTGGGCCGGTCGCCGTCCCCTGCCTCCCTCACGTTCCCTGTCACCCGGGCATGGTCAGAGCGCGGGCCCCCATTTTGGCGCCAACTCGGCCAGCCCACCGCTTCCCGCCCTTCGCCTCATGGCGCGCTGCTCCGCCGCCGCCGCCCCCCACCCCGGCGCCCTGGAGAGCCAGCCGGGGGACCCCGCGAGCCGGGCCCCCGCTAGCCCCAGACGAGACCCTCCTGCTCCTCCTCCTGGCGAGAGGCTGGCTGCTGCGCGTCGCCTGGCCCGAGCTGCTGAGGAGACGCCGGAGGAGCGGCGGGGCGAAGGCTGCTGCTGCTGCTGCTGTGGCTCTTGCTGCGGCTGCTCCTGCTAGCACTGCTGGTGCCACTGCGCTGCGGCTTCTGCTGCTGCCGCTGCCGCCGCCGCTGCTGCTGCTGTTGCTTCTGCTGAGGCTCCCGCCGGGCACGACCCCCCCTTGCTCGCGGCGCGGATTTGGCTGCCTCCTGCTGCCCGGGGGCCACCCTCATCTTGGGGCCCTGCGCTAAGTTGCCGCCATCTTCGTCCGGGAGAAGCACTTTTTGGGGGGAGCGCACGGCCCTTTGCGTCATCTCCTCCTGCGCCGCCAGCCTGGCGCATTGGCAGCGGCGGCGTGCTCTGCCTTCCCTCGACTGGGGGTTGGGGGGGGGAGGAGAGCGAGCGAGCCGAGGGAGGGAGGGAGGAGGGAGGAGAGGAGAGGTTGGGGGGAATCGCCTGCCACGCTCTCCCCGCTCTGAGGACCCCCCAATCACCGGCATTCTGGCGCGAGGGGGCGGGGGGAATCTCCTCCTCGTGGAGCCGAGGAAGGGGAAGGAATGGATCGCGGGAATTCGCCGGCGGTGAGTTCGCCTTCGCTGCTTTGCCGGGCTCCAGGCGGGGGGGGGTCTCGCTTGCTGCTGCTCCCCCCCCCCCGCTCCCTGTCGTGGGAGCCCCTCGCCCCGCTGCGCCCTAGAGAGCGGCCAGGTGTCACCTCGCAGCCAGGCGCCGAGCGACGCCGCACCTCAGCCCGGGCTGCTCCATGCCCGGTGCGAGCGCAGCCGGCGACTTCGGAGCCTCCCCGGGCCGGAGAGGGGCGCGTTGCACCCCGTCGCGGGGAACTTTGTCCTGGCTTGTGGAGGGGGAGGCCTCGCGATTTGAGGAGCGGGGGCGGGGGGGCGAGGAGAAGGAGGGGGAAAGAGAGGTTTCCCTTAAAATTGCCCTCCCAGGTGCTTTCCTCTCACGGTGGGGGGGGGGCGGGGGACACTTGTCTCTCGCCTCCCCCCTACTTGCCAGCTGGGTAAACAGAGCTGGCACACTATGTATGTTTGGAGACCTTTCTTATTGTCAGACAGACACACTTTTAAAAAATAATGATAATAATTTTTATTAAATATTTTCTTTGTTTACAAGACTACCTGCATTGTCTCTATTTTCAGGTTGCAAAGTCTTTTTCCAAAAACCAGTCACATACAGAATAAGGCTGGGGAAGAAGAAAAAGTGGGGAGAAGGAGGAAGGGAGGGCCTCCGCCACCACTTCCTTTGCCTGACTGCAGGGAAGTCAACACCTAGGGCAGGCATAGGCAAACTTGGCCCTCCAGATATTTTGGGACTACAACTCCCATCATCCCTAGCTAACAGGACCAGTGGTCAGGGATGATGGGAGTTGTAGTCCCAAAACATCTGGAGGGCTGAGTTTGCCTACGCCTAACCTGGGGACTGAGGTTCCCCCAAAATATTTGAGGGGTTCACCCTCCAAAAGTTAATGGGCATTGCCATTCAAATGGTGTGTGTGTGCCTTGTCTTGTGGTCGATTAAGCCGGGCATGGCTTACCTGGGTTCCCCCAATTCAAGTTGGTAGCCCTGCCTGACCATATTTTTTGAACATATTCCCAACGTTTTCCTCAGATGATGCCTGAGAAAGAAAGGAAGATGAGGGAGACTCTCAATCTGGCCAGATTTTATTCCTGCCTAAACTGTAAATTCTTGCCTAAAAAATAATGATCTGTGCCTTTTGAGATCTTAAGTGTCTTGCTTTGAGACCAAGGGGGCTGGTGCTTTTTATCGTATTGCAATGTAATCCTGATTTAACCAGCAAACCTGAGAATTTTATAGTATGATTCATATATATAAAACATTTATTCAAAATTTACAATACAGCTTTGTCCACTGCCATAATATCATAGAAGGATCTCTCCAATCCTCAATCCCACATCACTGTCATGTTGTCTTGCCAAATATCTTCAGTAAGAACCCAGCTACCAATCTGGTTGGCTGGCCATATTCAATTTCTGAATATATGCCTCTTGGGAAGTCAGTGGGAACGGTGCCTACTGGCGGTTCCATGTCAGGGGTGCCAACTTGAATAAAATATTGGAAAGGGTTCTGGTAAGCCCTTCCCCACATAATCCATCACACCACACACACCATTTGAATGACAATGCCCTTCAACTTTGGGGGGCAGCCCCCTCAAATATTTTATTGGGGGCACCAAAGGGACCCTGGCCCCTAAGTGTTGGTTCCTGTATTCCATGTGCAAAGCATGTGAGTCTGAGTCACTTTGCAGAGTTCCCACACAAGCATGTCATATGCCCAACAGCTTCTGACATTAGTCTGGACGCTCTCCATCAACACATTATGGATCCTGTCCATGTTCCGCAACCACTAATATATATATTCATAACCTGACATTTGGCAGGTAACTGCAAGCAGCTCAATCTTATGCATGCTTACCCAGAAGGAGGTGTCAATGTGTACAATAGGATGTAACACAGAGTAGGTGTGCATCAGATTGCAAGCATAAATCATTGCAGTGTCACAAAACTAGAGATTGTATCTGCAATATTTATTTATTTTAAAATGGCAGCTTTTGTCATATCCAGTTGCTCTTTGCTTTCTGCGTTGCTTACTAAAATGTGATGTCTTTATGGCTATCCAAACGCATAAAATGTTTAGTGTTTTAACATCAAAGAAATGGAACCTGACCAAACCCATTTATATGCATGGGCAAGCCTCAGAAGTCACATTTATTGAGTTCAATGTGGCTTACTCTTGGGTAGGTATGCATAGAATTGCAGCCTATTGTTATCAACTTGCAAACACAGCTTAAGCATCCTATCCTTCTCAGATGAAACTGAAGGTATTTTTAATATTGCAAGAATTTCGATCTTTTCACCCCTGTCGTCACATTTCATATGCTAAATTATGCTACTGAGCAATTTCTCCCCCCACGAAAACCTACGTAGCCACGTTGACCTGATCTTATTTCAATCCCTTACTTCAAACCTTCTATGGCGTGTCATTAAGTTATTGCCTAGCAGATGGGAAGCATAATACATTCATTAGCATCCATATGTCACAGAAGTTGTGCATAAATTTTTATTTTGATAGACTAATTGAAAGGTAGAGAAATTCATTTTAATATTATGGGAGAAGTCATGAGATACTCACCACTTAAATAGCGTGACATGCCTCAGTTTAGAATCTGGACGTTTCTCATTATCAAGGTTAAAAACTGCAAATACAGGCATCTGCTCCACACTTCCTTGTAGAATTTCTGCACCGGAAGGGTGCTATATGCATTTTTAGTAAAACTAGAGCCTCAAAACTATCTTCCAGGTGTCACAATGTCAGGGAATGGGAAACAAAATAGTTTCATGATCGGATTTTCTTTCCATTTACTCGTACATATCTAAGATATCTTGCACGTTTTTTTACAGGTGTGGGTGTGTTAAGATGCACTCACAGTTCCCGAATGCAGCAAAACCATCTTAATGCAGTGTTCCGTTAGCACCAAACAAGGACACTTCCAGATGACTTGTTTACTGAACACCCATCCTGTTTTGTTTGCAGGGAGCTTAGATGATGTACTATCAAAACAACAGTTATCCTACACTTTGCAGTGCATTTTCCTCATTGCAAAAAGTCTGATAATTTTGGGGAGTGACCTCCCAATCAGCTGTAAATGAGCAACCTGAATTTGTCAGTATAAGATTGAATCCTACTCCCAAAATAGTGACAGTCTGGAGGCACACCAAGATATAATGCAGGACTTCCATGCAGATGTGTTGTTTTATTTTTGTTTTATTAACAGGCACTCCTGGTGAGCTATGAATTTCGCTGGAGCTGCAAGGCAGGAAGGTGCTTAACCCTTCTCCTATCAAAGCTACCTCCCACAAACTGCTTTATTCCTGAAGGGAGATAGTATGACCTTCTGCCATGGATAAGAAAGGATGGTTTTCACTGGAGAAAACAGCCCAGAGGGAAAGGGCTAAACACACACACCTGCCCTGCACTCCTGTCAACTTCCCAAGGTCTGTGTTTCAGAAGGAAATACATCCACAAAGGTCAAATTACTGGTTAGGGTGCCTAGAATTGAGGGAGCTGAGTATGTTCAGCCTGGAAAAGAAGAGATAGGATAGCCATCTTCAAATATCTCAAGGGCTGACATGTAGAAGATGGACCAAGCTTGTTTTCTGCTGCTCCAGAGGGTAGGACTCAAACCAATGGATTAAAGTTACAAGGAAGGAGACTAAACATCAGGAAGAACTTTCTGACAGAGGTATTTGACAGTGGAACTCTCTTTCCTTGGAGGTTTTTCAACAGAGTTTGCATGGCCATCTGTCATGGATGCTTTATCTGAGATTCCTGCAATCCAGGGAGTTGCACTAGATCAGTGTTCCCCAACCTTGGGCCTCCAGCTGTTTTTGGACTACAATTCCCATGATCCTTGACCACTGGTCTTGCTAGCGAGGGATGATGGGAGTTGTAGTCCAAAAACAGCTGGAGGCTGAAGGTTGGGGAACACTGCACTAGATGACCATCAGGGTCCCTTGCAACTCGACAGTTCTTTGATTCTATTAACATGCATAGAATATATACCTTTCTGACCA